GGCATGCAGGAGGCGACTAACACATAGCAATATATTACTCTAATTTAAACTATTTGGATCGGTTAAAGCTATTTTTAGCAGCAATCGCCATATTTTGGCGCATCTAAACTGGGAGCTTATATGGAACAAGACATGGGCACGCGTTTGAAGTGCCCGCCTGCCTTTGGCTTTGTTTAGTTGTTTGGTATTGGTACTACGAGTGAGCATATCTTACAGGAATATGCCGCTGATGGAAAGGAAACGCGGTATTGCACGCAGGCACGCAGATCTTGCATGGCATCCACCGGCATACCGAGCAGTACATTGATGCCGCATGCCGCTACGCACAAAACAATGTAATCCAGCATTGTTTTTGCATAGTATTGTCTTTTCTCACTATAGGCTCACTACCGACTACCGGCAAAGCGCAACCAGCATGTCGGGAGCGCTCTTCTGGGAAGCCCACATCGTTTCACTTTCACCGCCGTTTGTCTCTTCCCTCGGTGAAAAATTGAAATGTTCCTAGCCCATACGCTCCACGTTCTATTTCATCAAGTCAGCAGAATAAAAAATGAGTGACCAGCTAGCCGTGAAGAGCAGCGTAAGTTTTTTTGGCGAGGCATGGCAATTGGCAAAGCAGTCATTGGTCGATGTCACGTACAGCTAGCGGCTAGCGCGCAAAGACTGAAGAGCCACGTTGACACCGTACCCGGCCCGTTTTCTTGGACACGCACGCACCCATCCATTCTTTTGAAAGAGAGACCGCCGGCAACCGGGGGAGGCCGCACCTTGGCCTCGATCCACGCCGTGTTTTTGTGGTCGCTTCCTCCGCTGTGCGACGAGATATCTCATGATTCGTCGATGACACTACGGCTCTCGGTGCTCCGGCTCTACTCCAGACACTGTGCAACACTGTTTTTACTGTAGCATGATAAGAAACAGCTCCGGCTCCTCAAAAAATAAAGTAGAAAGAAGAGGAGCCGGAAGAGCAGCATATTTGGAGCTTTTCCCAGCTCCGCCACAGTAGTGCTACAGTGCCGGTGCCGGAGCCGGGAAAAGCCCCTCCAAACGGGCTCTATATATGTTTGGCCATGCGTGATAGGTGACTGGCTTTACAATCCCCATTCCCCAAAAACATTTCCCGGAATAAGATTTTTAGTGACATTTCTGTTGCGGATATATATGGTGCGTGCGTTCAGGATACGCCACAGAAATGAATGAAGTTCCCTTCGATCAATTCCAGAAAACCAATAAGAAGGAATACGTACGTCAAGCAAATGCGGACGTAGGACGTACGCTTGTCCGAGTGCAGTGCAACGCATCGAAGCATTGTTGCGATTCTGACAAAACGTCCGATTTATGCGCGAGCCCATACGACCATACCACCCAACCCGTCGTCCTGCCGTCCAAGTTCACGATGAAAGGATGGGGATGTGCACCGACTCGAAGCGCCGCCGTTCATGCATTTCCCCCAAAACACAATTCTAGTTTCCAACAACTAACCCGATCCTTGGTCTGATTTCTCTCTCGAAAGTCCTCGACCATCAGAAATCTTCTGCCACTAGTAGCTGGTTCAGCACGCTTTCGCCCGCAAATCTCCAAGTTTGTTGCTCCTCCTTGCGCGCGCGCGCGCCGTTTGGCCTCGGGTAGCCGGTCAGGTTCATGCGATGCGAGTGCGCGACGTGACCGCGTGTCCCACGCCCGCGCGCGCAGGGTCGGCGCGCGGAACACGGGCCGGGACCGCGACCGCGAGACTGGGACGCGCGCGCGTGGTCAGCGCTCGGGCCAACAGATAAAGCGGGCACGCAGCCATGTAAGGCAGCCGCGCCCGCGACACCTGTGGGCGTCGGTGACCGCAAGCGGCCGGCGCTGAAGGCGTCGCGCGCTGCCTGGTGCAGCGGGCGACTCCGGGGCCTTTTCCGCGGTCGGCCAGGGGACGCGCGACGGCGTGAGCGGTCCCTCCCTGCCCGCGCGGTCGGTCGCGTCCTGCCGTGCCGGTAGAGTAGTTGGCGGGCGCGCGCGGGTCGATTGGTCAGGTTGACGAGTTGCGTGCGGCGGTGGACACGGACTGGCACCCGCACGAGGCCACGAGCCCGATCGTGTGGTGCTGGTCCAGTGGTCCAGGCTGAGCTTAGATTTTCTAGGACGCATGTTGGAGCTTGATCTGCCGTTCTAAAAAATAGGTGGTGCTCAAGAGCATACCAGATGCATCGGATATTTGGATATCCTTTTTTTTAGACGAAAGAAAGCAGAGGTAGGCGTGCATCAGGGAAGGCTGTATATGGCCGGGACAATTTTAAAAGAGTAGTGCCTGCACTGCTCTATCAGAAAGCTTCGATTCTATGTTCGAGGCTGGATGCCGGATGGGAGATATACAGATATAGGAGTACATATAGATCAACATGGCATGAAGAAAGTATACAAGGCTACATACAGCAGGCCAAAATGCATGCCGATGCTTCAATTATGTGATCAAGAGAATCAACTTTGGTATCCCGGAACCCGCGTCGCTCCGTCTGGGCGACACGGGCGGCGACGCCGCCACCGCCAGCAGCTCCTCCCTCCCTCCCCGTGCCTCCTCGCCGCCGCCGGAGTGGGCTTCCGGAGGCCGTGCAGCCCGCAAGGATGGTGGCGGCGGGGGCCATCTTTCCCTCCCTCCATCCCTCTCTCATCTCTCCTCTCCTTCCGATGGTGGCTTTTCCGGCGGTGGTGGTGCCTACTCCGGCGACCGGCGCTCGAATCCACAGCCCTGGTGGCCGGATCCGGCGTCTCGGGTCCTCCCGCGGCTAGATCCCGCCGGCTCCCGCTTGGATATGGCTGAGGAATCGCGAAGCTCGGGCCCAAGGCTAGATCCGGCGAAGGTGGGGCGTCAGGGCACTTGCCCGTGCCTGGGACGGCGGCGGTCGGCCGGACCGGCCAGCCCACTGCGATGGCGGCCAGCTGGGCCGTCTTTCGTGCGCCTGTGGGTCAGGCGGCGGCTGGCGCTCGTGGCCCCTTGCTGACTGGGTTGCAGCCAGCACTGGTGGCGGCGCACGGCGACGCCGTGGGGGCGTGGCCGGCGGAGGCCTGGCCGAGTGTGCGCCAGCGGCGCCATGGTGGCTTGGTTGGCAGTGCGGGGCCGGTGGTGGTCACCATTGTGCAGAGAGGAGATTTGGCGTGGTCATCAGGTGGTGGTTGGCAGCGCTGGTGCAACGGTGGCCGAGCAAGCAGCTTGGTGCGCCGTGTGGTTGCGGAGGTCTTCGGGGGGTTCTGTAGGGGTTGGCGACATTTGGCCCGGCAACGGTTCACAAGGATCGGCGCCACGGCGACTTGCCATGCATGTCTGTAGCCTGTTTGCTGCGGCAACGACATCCAGATAGAGGCGGCTCCTGTGGATGTGTCATGGCGATCGACGTCAATTTGTGACGTCCAACTCGGTATGCTTCCTTGTGGGTTTTCTCTGACTGGACACAACGCCGGCGGCGGTCTTTGCTCAGGCACGGCAACCTTATTGGGGGAGGGTTCTTGGACGAAAGCTTTGCTTGGCTTTGTGCTGATGCCAACAGTGATGACGTATCAACGCCATGTCCCTCCATGGAGGCATTGCTGTGAGACCCCTTACCTCTCTAAGAAATTTCTCCGGTTCAAAAACTAGGGCGCTGAAGGCATCCGTGGACGTCTTTCCCTCAGAGGCAGCGCAAAGGAGATCCTCCGTAGTGCCTGTGTTGTTTGTCCTTGCCACAATGGTGGTTGGTGGTGACCCGTGGGGTCCACGACATCTTGGCTGGAAGCGGTCTGTGTAGACCGGCACGGAGGCACCCGCTCCCGCTTGCCTATGACCATGATTGCTTCGACAGCGATAGCCAGCTGAAGGCGTCTTCTTGCGGTCGTTGTTGTGGCGGCGCAATAATGGTAGCTCTGGGTTTGTGTTTTTTTGCTTTGTTTTTCTTGTAAAGGTTTTGTTGTACTTTGCTTCTACTCTATTAATACATGCACAATAAATTTCTTGCTGGTTGTTGACGATAGTTAACATTCATCACAAACCGTCAATATAAATTGTATAAATGGCTAAAATAGATCATCAATGTAGATTTAGGGGTTTAAACTAACAAATTCTATGAATTTTAGTGAATCTGTGTTTCCAGCAGGATTTAATCAGAAAATCATCAAGGAAGACCTATTCGTTAAAGGAAATCATGGAATCACTATAACACAACATACTTTTGATGATACTTTCTATTGTAGGCAAAGGGCACCTTTGCCGACAGATAACTTCCCGCGAAAAGTTTTGCCGACAGTTTAGAAACAGTCGCGCTAGAAGCCGTCGGTGAAACTTTTGCCGACAGTTAGCAGAATCCCCGACACTTTATGTGTAGGCAAACGGTCTACCTACGCCGACAGTTGAAACATTTGCCGACAGTTAACCTTTTGCCGACAGTTACCTTTCCCGACAATTTGTATGTTGGCCAAACCATTTCCAAGGTATTTTACAGACCATACCCTGCCAAAAAAAATTATCGGCAAAACTGCATAGATATAATTACAATTAAAATAATTTGACAAATCCACTTTTGCTCATATAGATGGCATCACATTGAATAAATTCACTTGATTTTTGTATAAATAATATATTAGATCTTCCGTACATACACCCTGCTCGTCAATCCTATCTATTTCTAAAAATTGTAATTCTTTACACTACAACAAAATACGAAGATATTTGGAAAAAAAATACCATGATATTTGCAAGTATACTGCGTCCACAATAGCAGCGTGCCATCTCCAAAGAGAAGAAAATAGGTGGTTTATCTCTCAGCCTCTGCAACCATAAATACACTGACTGGTTTATCTCTCAGCCTCTGCAACTATAAACTCAAGCTTGCGTCGTGCAAATGCAAGACTTTGCCACTATATTCCCCAGGCAACTGGGGCCTGTCAACCAAAATATAGAAATATAGAAACGAGCAGCAGTGATCAACTTCATCAAAGGTCACCGCCGGCACCGGTTAAGGCGGTCCGTAGATGACCATCCTTGGGGCATGCTAATCCTTGTTGCCGTTGGGGGATTCATCCTGCTCACCGATCTTCTGGAACTCAGCCTGGATGACCTCGACGATCTTCGCGTCATCTGGGTCTGGCTCGGGAATGCTGACGTGCAGTGAACCCATCTTGATGAGCTCCCTGCACGACGCTTGCTCTTTGATATGGTCGTAAAGTTCTTTTGTGGAAAGGATGGTCAAGGGAGAAGCAGTTGTCGACGTCAGTAGATGAATGCTTTGATGATCCAGAGCCCTCCCGGCGGCAGAAATGGGGAAGTGACGAGTAGTCCATAATCTACAAATGTTAAGCATCGCAACTGTTTTACTGAAGGAAAAAATGCACGTTCACAAATGCGGATAGTATTGCAACCAGAAATGAAGGATCTAACTGAAAAGACAGCCAACAAGGAAGAATATGTTTCCAGTTATTTACCTTCAGAAGTTCATCTCTCCCGCAGCCAGTCAAAACTTTAACCTTCCTTTTTGTCCTCTCCTGCAACAAGGGCTTCACAACCTAGCAGCATGCTCAAATTAACTGTCATCAGTTTCTACTAAAAACTTACTAAAAACCTTACATCTGAATATCAGTGGTAATTGATAGTACCAACAAGCAGAAAATATGCATGGAACATTGACTACATAATAGGTCTCTGTCTTTTCAGGGTAATTCAGATCATCAACTGTTGATATGGAAGTCAAGATCTGTATATCATATTAAAACTATATTAACAAAATAACATGCCACAATCAATACCCAGAAGCAACACAAGTAATGCACACAGCACACAATTTTTTTAACAAAAATATGGGATAATAAGTGAAAAAATATTGAACAGTGGACAGCTCAAAGTTCAAGGGTTAAGCTATTCCTCTTGAACACAAGAGGTTAGATAAAGCTAATTCTAATATTCTATTATCCCTAGATAATTACTAAAAAGGATTATTGAAGTTATTATTATACATGTTCATACAATAATACTAACTCATTAGTTTATAGTCTAATGGGGATAAAATAGGTTAATAGTCATAGCACGTACCTTTATTTGGCTCAGTGCTGATAGCTTCAAACCAGTCATATCTAGAACTTTTATACATTTGGTAACAGGCTGCCCAAACTGTTGTGTCAGCCTAGGCTAAATGTGGTACAAATAAATGTTAGGACTGGATTCATATGTTTACATAAGTGATCTTAAACTCGGTGCATTTTGGATACTCACCAAAATTATACGATCACGATACTCATTAATCTGGATATGAGATTGCACATAGTAGTGGACCTGAGACAAAATACCTCTATTTTTAGTTGACACACAGAATTCAGTAGAAAAAAGCACGAGGCCACAAATAAAATGAAGTTAGTTGAATAAGATCACTATTTGGGTCACTAACTACTACATTCAAAGCTTATATCAACATCCGAAAGAAAAACGTTTCCGCAACATACAGTAAAAGGCTAAAAGCAGCTAGTTTCATGATTAAGCAGCCTGTAGCTGTAGCCTACTAAACAAATAGCAAGCATCAGAGTAATTACCGAAGCTTTGTCATATGTGCTATGTCCAACACCAATGCCAAAAACTGGAAGACCCTTCCAATGAGAGAAACAAAGACAGAAAAAATTATCGAAACAAAGATAGAAAGAAGAAAATTACTATAACAACTACCACATGCAACTTAACAATTGTGGTAGAAGGTTTGCTAATATTTTTTAATTTTTACAAAAAACTAAGAGCCTCGAGGAACAAAGACTAGACTACTATAGTATATAAATGGGAAGCTAATGACTCTCTGATGTTGCCCACAGGTGAGAAATATCAAGAAAGACAAACCCAAAGGTGAGAAATTATCACATAAGATCCTACAGTTCTTGCTAACAAAATATTGCCAGGTCAACTGTAGTTATCACAGATCCCAAGTGAAAACATCACCTCTGATCCTACAGATCATGATAACCAAACAATGTCCAGTCAACTGCAGTTATCACAGTTCAAGTAAAACTTGTATGACGCCATATCATACTTTGAAACTACAGGCCTTAATAGCGCATTTTATTGTTAGTAGCACATCATTCCGTGAAAGTTTGACAATCAATATAAGTTAAAACTTTAACCTCTTCAGTACTATCTTCATTCAGCATATTTAATTTTCCTAGTGAAAACTGAAAATCAAAGTACTCTGTTTTAAGAATTTCAACCGAGGACATAGACAAATTAAGTCCAAGAATATGGTAGCCTTAGAATACTAACAGTAAAAAGGCATGTCTATTTCAAACACACAAATGACTGGTTCATATTCAATTCATATATAGGGTAATGGTTCAACCAACACAGATTTTATTATTGGAAGTAAACATCTATACCTCCTTTGTGTATCCTGACAGGCCAATAAGTTGTGAATCACGTATTGATCTGTATAAATCTACTGGGACTATAGGTCTCTGAAGATGGATAGTGCAAACATTGATCAGGAAAAAAGATGAAGAACTTTTCTATACAAACATACACAAATAGGTAGACTCACCTCCAGCACACTATCAATTTCATTTTGAATCCTCCAATTCAAAGAATCTACAATCTATAGAAACAAACATATTTTGTAAGCAAGAACATACTGTAATTAAGTTCAGTGATCACTTCACCCACTGTTGAGAAAATTGTATGAAATGTTACCATTTTATGAGCCTTTGATACATTCCACTCTCTAGCCTTAAGGAAACGCACCAGTGTTTCTTTGGGATAGCCCTGGTGCATATTCTGAAATAAATGAAGATATGCTCATATTGTTTCTCAGAATCACTCAACAAGTTACAAATTAAGTTGATGAACAAATAATCATGTATTACATCTAACAACACTGAAGCAAAGGTAGCAATAAAACAACAACAACATAACTACATGTAAATCTAGTACACAAGTCTGTCTAGTTTTGAACCCCCCCCCGCCCCACCCCACACAGTACCCAATGCAATTTGTAGAATCACGATCACCCTATGCAAAAAGACATGGACGAGGATAGCAGAGGAACTACAATTACTGCAGAGTTTTCACTTATCTAAAAACTTAGAATTCGCACCAACCAATGCAATTAACCAATGCAATTAACAAATAGTTATGGCTTCCTTTGCTTCATTGGATTGCACTAATGGATCTAGCTATCACAACAATCTCCTAATTTAGTGGTCAAAAGAATAATAGCACACCTTTGGTCTAATCTGAAAGTGAATATAAGTGTTGCTGCTAGCTAAATATAATATGGAAACTGTATTGCATTTAATTATATCTTTATAATATGGAAACTGCATGAGAGAGTTTAAGTATTCAAGCTCAGAGTAATTTCTTAGTGTACTTAGACATTCCACTTGAAATGAAAACTAAGATGAAAATTTCTTTGACTGTGAAAAACATAGCGACATAATTAGTGCATCTTTTGGACAATAAACTCACCCGAAAATTTCTAGGGAAACCATTTCTTCCTTAGGAGTTTCAAGAATCTGGGAAAGGGTGTTAGTGGCAAGCCATGTACAAGAATGCCAGACCAAACCACTAATCAAAACAAGAATGCCATGTACAAGAATTTACTGAACTAGTCAAAATGACATCATTTCACCTGAAGAAACAGAGGAAACTGAAACTGAGTGCGAACTGAGTGCTTCTGAATCTGATGATGAGCTATTTAACTGAAGAAAAAAATATGCAGTAGTACTGATAAGACAGTGGTCTATACTAGATTGTAACGCTGGTATTTTGTACCAGTTCTTAGGATTTTTAGAGTCATACCTTATAACTAATCATTGCATTACTCAAACAATTGCAAATAAGACTCTTGACTAATTATAATTAACCTCGCCTCGCAAATAGACATTTCAAGGAAGACTGCAATATGTCCAATTACTACATGTACATAGCAAGATAAACTATTGAAAAACTTCATATAAAATCAACTACCCAGATCCCAACAAATTCTGAAAAAAGGTTTGACTTTTGGACCCTCCACTGGCATACCATGTTATATAGCACCGGCAATATTTCAAAAAATCCATTCTGCATTCAATCTTCAGCGTAATTCCTGCAAATAGACATTTGCAAAACACAAAGCACATCTAACAGAGAGTGCACATCTGTTGGAGCAAAACTACATACTAAAGAGGGCGTATTTGACGGCAGATTGAATATCTCACCTTGGAGTTGGATTCGTTCCAAGATCACAGCCGCCAAGATCTCCGGTGCTGGTCACAGCCGCCACAGCAGCACGCTCAAATCGACAGGAAAGGATCAAGAACACGTAGCTAGAATCATTCCTCGTTCAAGAACATGGGAGGAATTGTCCGTACCTGGGTCGGTCGCCGATGGTGGAGAATCCAAGCCTGCAGAAGGAGGAGCCGACACCCCAGATCAGATGGGGATGCGGCGGCGGCACCGCTTTTTGCTGGCCGGCGGTGGGCTAGGGCGATGGTGGGCTTGGGGATGGCGGGCTTGGGAGGCGGCGGGCTTGGGGGCAGCGGGCTTGGGAGGCGGTGGGCTAGGGCGACGGGGGGCTATGGACTGGGGTGGCGGCGTCATTGGATTCGGCGACGGGGGCCTGGGGAGGGGGGCTGCGGGGCTCCGGCCAGGGAGTTCAGCTGCGGCGGGATTGGGAGACGGCGGCAGTGGCTACTGACGGAGCCTAGCCCGCGGAGCCCTCTGTGGGCGCCCGCGGAGGAACCCTCCTGGTGGCGTGCCGAGTCGAGATCTGCTGGTGGCCGGCGGCGTCGGTCTCTGCTGGCTGCCGGGTTTTTTCCCCGAGTCACATGAGTAGGAGAGACGAATGGGGATGGGTTCTGAGGCAGCCTATTTTAGTGGGCGCATGGCCTTCGACGACACTTTGACAGTGGTTTGCTTAGGCTACGACGACAGTTTGCTTGTCTTAAAACTTTCGCCGACACTTTTTAGGTTGGAAGGACAAACGCCCACATATAACGTGTAGCCTTACACTATTATTGGCGACAGTTAAGGTGACTCTAAAAAAGGTATATCATTGCCGACACTTTATGTGTTGTCAAAAGGCTAGTTTTACCAACACATAATTGTAGGGAAAAGTAGGTTATGGTGTAGTGAATTCCGCCGCGTAATCGATGTGGGAAGACTCTAGAAGACTCCAGAAGGTGAATCACCAAAGCGGAGCCTGTGCCCCTGACATATGGGGCTGACCGGCCCCACCTAGAGGCCTCCTGACCTGTGGACCCCCCATGTCAGCCTCCCATTGCTATGACGGTTCTCCACCGCCTTAAGGATTGCATCTCCACCATTTATTCAAGTCAGTTTGATCTGAGGGCTTAGGATTGACACTCTAGGCTATATATACCTGCCTGTACCCCCCTCTAGGGTAGATGCCTCATTTGATCCTGAGAGCTAAAAAGCTAGAGACCCTAATTCATATGTCCAATAGGATCAGGGCTAGCAATCAAAAGAAGATTAGTCCTCGATAAGATCTAGTCTTATACTAGAGATAGAGAGATAGAGTGAGGGGGAAGAGTTTTGGAGGAGTCGTGGCCTATCGGTGCTCTCTCTACGGCATGTACCCTAGCGGAATCATGTTCTTCTTGAGCCTACTTCTGAGATTTCTCTGGTAATCAACTTCTAATTCAAGTAAGCATCTTGTTTATATTATTCTTCAGGTTTGTGACTCTCTTTTGAGTACTTTAATCCTTGTAGCTCCTAGGTTAAAGTAGTATTCGTAGTGTAAGCGTGGTGCTTAGACTCGGTTACTCGTGGATGTACCATATTTTCTAGATCGGTGGTAGCTCACGAGGGTTACTCTTATAGCCTCGTTGAATCCTTTGTAGTCCACCTCTCGTTAGTAGGCCTAGCAGGACTTTGTTGCTATAGAAAACATACCCTGCCTGTGTTTTCTCTAGTAATATCCTCAGAATTAAACAATAGAAGACAAAGCTTATCGAAATTAGAACTAGAAGACCTTAGCAGTCTCCTCTACGCTCCTATTATCTAGCCTTGATTGTGAAGTTGGGATAAGTTAGATTTGGTTATTCTCACATATATTTTCTCGAGTTCGATATTATACTAGGTACTCCCGGTGAAGTGCTACATCGGTATAATATCTGTGCGCTTACGGATTATTTTGTGTGCATTAATTTATACCAACAAACATTTCTGGCGCCGTTGTCGGGGAAACGGTTGCTGAGTTAACTTCGAAACTAGTTTATCCTTGTATCATTAATCTTTTATTCTTTCATTTTTCCTTTCTTTTTACCATGGATCTAGAATCCATCCCTATCTACCAATATGGTGCACCCACGAGCGCAAGCCTACATCCAAAAAAGTCTTCAAAGCCTATCCTAACACCTGGCTATGAGCTACGCCTGTGTTTAATCGATATGGTTCATGGTCAACTCTTTTTGGGTGAAGATGATAAAAACCCCTACTCCCACCTAAATGAGTTTGAGCAGACCTGTGCATGTCTACGCATTGCGGGCATGTCAGACGAAACCTTACGATGGAAGCTTTATCCTTTCTCTTTGATGGGAAAAGCTAAACGTTGGTACAATCTCTCCATAGGGAGTAGACAAGGAGATTGGAAAGCCCTATGTTTTAGCTTTTGCTTATAATTCTTTCCCATCTCTAGGGTAGTCAGACTTCGTTCAGAGGTTCTATCTTTTAAACAAAAGAAAAAAGAATCTCTAGGCACGGCATGGGAACGCTTTAATACTCTCATTAATACTGGCCCTGACCTTGCCATTCAAGACCCTATTCATCTTCAACACTTCTATATGGGTCTTGATAGGAAAACCTCAAAGCTTCTTAATACGGCCTCAGAAGGCTCGTTCTTGCATGTCTATGCCAATGCGGGGAGAAGCATTCTTACTAAAATCTTAGAGAACATCCCTGAGGAAGTAGAAGAGAAACTATTAGAGGAAGAATCCCCATAGCTGAACCCGAATCTTTACCAGACCCATCACCAACTTTAGCTATCCCAAATCCTGAACCACCAGAAAAGAAGGAAACTCTGATTTCGGACTTCATGCTTGAATTTAAGGATGAACTTTTTGATGAATATGGAAATACCTCGAATTACCCTACCATGAGGAAACCCCAGAAGTCTAGGAAATCATTATTTTATGAAGAACATTTAGATCCTTCTGAGAAAGCTTTCCTTAAAACGACTACGAAAGAGCTAGTGTCTATTATAACCAATGAATGATTAGAAGAATCAAAGCTTTCCTCTGATGTGATTCGTTTAGATTCACCTTCTATATCCATTCGTTGCCAAATTAATAAAGCTCCTTTTGATGCGCTTTACAATCCTGTTGTGGGTGTTAATATCATGTCTGCATCTTTTGCTCATGGTTTATTGAAATACATGCCATTAACCCCGACAAGAAAGTTAATAAAAAGTCTTTCAGGACATATTCTCCTGAGTTTGGGGATACTTTATGTCCTTCCTATCCAGGTAAAAGGAACCAAGGTTCATCTGAGCTTCTATATCTTTGATATTATAGAGTTTGACTTGTTGATAGGACAACCAAATGAGAGACTTATCCAAGAAGGACAAATTGGGAAGTTGAATATAAGACTATGGAAAAACTTCAAGCTTTCTATACCCACTACTCATTCTCTAAATGCTGAGAGTGAGCCAATTCCTGAGGAAGACCCAGTGGAAGATGTTAAGGTTGTATCTCTTGATGCTGTTATAGAACCAAACCTTAAAGATGATGCCTAGTTCTTCATCGAGGAAGAAGAGGAAAATCCTATGGACT